TTGTTTGTTTGTTTTCAAACGGACACAGGAAAGATTAGATATTATGAGAGGGAAAAAGTTTTTAGAATGATTTATCACAGTCATTAAATCAGGGGTGTGCACACTACTGAGAGCCACTGCAAATTAGGACTGGAGCCAATGAAGGCAACGTTCAGAGCAGCTAATGAGGATGAAGGATGTTGCTGCGGCAGATGGAGCAACTGTTGCACAGGAAATCTGTGCTCCTCTCATTGATAAGAGACGGATCGGGGATGGAGCTGGGGGTGTCGTTGATCGCGAACCAGCTGTCCGAGTGGACTCATTTGAAGACTGTTTTTCAGCAGAATCGGTTTCGTGGATAAAGTGTGATGTGCAGGATCTTTATGGAAGTGCTCATAATCCTTCTCTAATCCCGTAAGCTCACTTTAACCAGCTTTGAATGATTTGGAAGGGAGTAGATTTAACAACCGGCTGAGGAGGGAAAGTAGTTCTCACTTTCTAAAGAGATGAGTCCGGGATGAGGTAGCAGCCATTGATCTGATGATGGAGGATAACTTAATCTCAGATCCACAATATTTGACACCTTTTATGCCTGAATTTATTTTCTTTGTATTTTAGAGACAGAAACCGTTAAAATCTTAAAATATAACCAGCCTTTCCATTGTTTTCCAATGAAAATATGTCATTTTGATAGCTAACGTAGGAGTTAGATCTCTCCAAAGAAAGAAATCCCATTATACCTTACATAGGTAATGAAGGCCCATCTGGAACTGGAACTCACAACTCTGAAACGTTGTAAAGTGAAAACACAGGAATCTATTGGACGCATTGCAGCTTTTTGGCAATAAGGAAAAAGAGAAGAGCGAGCAGCATGCGTACTGTTCCTGGAAAATCCTCTGCGGAAAACAAGAGATTCATGAAAATGCATTTCTCCTCACCCGCCAAAAACCATCTCTGCTCAAAACTTTTCTCTCCCAGATTCTGAGAAATGAGACCAGAACACAGTTTGAGAGCATAGCAGTTCCCAGCATACAATTTAATTTTCTTTTTTTTTTTGCTTTATCTGTCCATTAAATTAATCCACTGAGGTCCTCAGATTGTATTATTATAACCAATCTGTCCAAACATTTCCTCTGCCTGGTGCTTAGTGGTGGTTTCATGTTGTTTTTTCCAAGTGTAGGAGCTAAATGAATGACAGATTGTTCTGTGTATTGGTATTTTTCTTCCCTTCCATCTACGACACGAGCAAGTTTAACTGGCAGTGTCTTTCTGCAACTTAACATTCTGTTGTGTGAAAAACATCTGTAGTTTGAAGGGTGTGACTAATTATAAAACATTTGAAAACTTTTGTTTTTGTAGCGCAAGTAAAACCTGGATAGATTATGAGTAGAAGAGTGAGACTTTTAGCTGCTTCCTTTCACTGTAGATGTTTTCTCATATAAAATGCCCTGGCGACAAGGTTCTTGGGAGAAATGGGAAACCACACACATTATGTAGAATTATGGCCATTTACTAAAGTGATTCGAGGTTTTATTAATGTTTCTATTTAGAGCGATTTATTGAGCTGCAGAACAAGACTACAAAAATGTCAGAGCACCATTTATCTTCAGTTTGATGGTTTAGATGCTCAAACTAGGCTGAAGTGATTCTCAATGGCTACTAAACACAGACAGGTTTTACCACTCCTCACTCTTGCACCTACCGCCAATAAAATCCAGCCAGAACCAATTATTCCTGAAAGAAACACACCGACTTAAACACTGGCTGGTTTAAACTCTCAGTCCTCCACTGTGATGCTCACTTCGTCACCTTTGAAACATCCCCAGTCGCAATTAATCATAAAAACTGATGCACTTGTGTTTAAAGTTTGATGGCTCAATTAAATTTTGAATTGGTTCCTTGCCAATTAGCTATTCCATCAAGCTTTCTGGGACTTTTTAACTGGAGAGCAATGCATGTAGGAGGCAGTTTGGCATCACATTGTTGAAATTAGTGCTAAAATTAATGTGCTCACTGAACATTTCCTCCACTTTTGTGTAGAGTAAAAATTAGGATGTAAAGTTTTTAAAGCTCCTACTTCGGCACAGTCAGTCAAACTGAGAACATCTTGTCATGGTCAAGTTTTCTCTTTGCTTTGTTATTTATTTATTTTTTAAATTACTTTATTTAAAAAAAAACCATCATATCCATCTGCAACATGCATATCCATCTGGTGACATGAAGAGATAAGGAGGTTATTCCAACTATGTCCATTTGTACTTTTCTAGGTTTTTCTCTTTAATTTCAAGTCGTCTATCAAATCCCTTTTTTAAATGTGCTTCAGATAAAGGTTTGCATCATATTTGTGAGCAAAACCTGCTAACAAAAAAACCATGGAAGCAGGCTGAACCCGATACAACTCAAATGCAGATCAAAATCTGTCAAAAGTTGCTTGTTCACCTGATTCCAAGCTAATTAGCTTGATTCTTTAGCCTCTTGTGATGTCATCAACCCAAACAAAACCCAATTAGCAGTATTTTACCCAAGTGTGTTTTTTCTTGAAACTGTGGAAATCCTTTCATCGCTATCCAACCAGTGTTATTATTAGCCAGTCTAACAGTTAAAAAATAAATTTACCAGAGAATAGTATGTTTAAAAAAATTCTAATCATTGCAGAGTTTTCAATTTTTAAAGCTGTGCTGTACAGACACAGGAAACAAGAAGCAGATCCATCCACCGCCCTCGTTGTGTGCCCTTGTTCACTCATGATCTAATTAGCATGGCCTTTGTACAACCTGTGTAACCGGGCAACAAAGCAATTATGTGTTAACAGGACTGCCCTGCTTGTTTTACACAAGACATGCTGCTCTCCTTCACCGCTACCTGGACCTGCTGACTTATTTCAGTCAAGAATAAGAAAAAAGAAAAAAAAAAACCTTTCAAAAAATAACTTCCTGATGTAATTTCATGCAACAAGGAGGAAATGATCTGTCATTACAGCAAGGGAATACCCACAGCTCGAATATGGGAGCCCCAGTGCATGTGTTTTCATTTTGGTACCAGATCAGTGGGGATGTAATCTCCAAGAAATGCTCATAATTAAAGCCGTCCCGTCCACGATTTACAGCAGTGCCTCCAGCAGTGAGTTACACGCTGTTCTTTCACATTTCTAACATCCTGCACCTCCAACTCCTGATATACTACTACATTAAATCCACTTTGTTCCTCTGCTGTCTTTTTATAAATAGTACAGAACACACACACACACACACACACGCACACGCACACACACTCAGAGAAAGAGAGAAGTGCTCACCGGGCTCAGACAGAGCCAGCACTCCTCGCTCTGGGGCATCCTTACTGATCTCCTCCTCTTCCAGCTGGTATGAATCGAAGCTGTAGCTCTGCACCACGCCGCTCTCCCTGCCCTCCCTCCAGCCTTCCCTCCCCGCGTCCCTCCACCCGGCGATCCCTCGATCCCTCCACCCGTCCCAGTCGTCGGGCATTTGGGCCGGCGCGGGCCTGCGGCGCTCCGCTCCCGCCGAGCTCAGCTCTGGCCTTGAAGAATGCATGGAGACGCGACGCGCTACAGAAGACTCCTCCGGCACTGAGCGGGCTACACGAGCATGGTGCGGACACGACCCCCAGCGACACGCCCCTGGAAGGGATGCAGGAGGCCTTCGGATGACGAAGGATCTGCAGGGAGAAGAAGCAACAGGAGGGTCAAAATAAGAAAACAAGGGGGAACGAGGAGGCAGGCTGGAACGAATGATCAGTCAGAGCTCTGCTGAAAATAACTTGAGTGAATCATTAAAAACACAGTTTGCTTCTGCGTGTGTGTTGATGTGTGAGAGGCATGCTCAATGAGAACGTGACAATGGATGGGTGGCAGGAAGGCTGGTAAGGCGAGACAGTAAACGAAAAAGAAGAACTAAACTAATGATTTAGTTCATCTCAGTTTAAACGAGGGACACACCGATCCACATTTTTCACTTCCGATACCGATACAGATATGTGAGGTTTAGTACTGAGCTGAATTTACTTAAAATGTTTCTTTTTTTAATAGTAGACATAAATGTAATAAAACACAAATGTATTTGATAACTCTGCACCAGTACAGCAAAACTAGATATACCAATATCTTCACAAGCTTGGTCAAATATGTAAAAACACCTTTAATTTGTTCAGTCGGTGCATTTAGGAGTTGAACAGCCAAAGTAAAATAAATAATAAAGAAACTGAAACTGACAAAAACAACAGGATGACTACCTTGGTCAACCTAAAAAAAAAAAAACCTTCTTTCAAATTGTTCAGAAAGTGACTGATGAAGGTTTCTGTCCAAATCCAGAACGATAATTATTTTAATTGTAATTTTTGCAGCATGTTCATTTTTTATAAAAAAAAAAAAAAAACATGTCAATTTGCAGCATAAAACTCACCAATTATTGTTTGAATGTAGTACCAAATAATTCCTTCAGATGCTAACGTCAGCGCCGCCGAGACTACTGGTGCTTTTCTGAGATCATTTTTGTTGTATGCAACAAAGGAGGTGTGCATTCGTGACTGAGTAACAGGTAAATAAAATAGAAAACTAAAAGTTTACTATGTGTGGAAGTGACAAGTAATTGTCATGGTAGCCCCATGTGGTTTGCCCCCCTGAGCAGAAAGCCGCATTGAAGGTGAAGCTTCACTCTCTCAGGTTAACCGGACATTTTGAAGGATAACCTTGTTGCTCAAAGATAAAACAACCGCTTTGCAAAACATAGATGCTGAAGCTAACAGACAGGTGAGCCTAATCCTTGCCACATCCCCACCTGCCGGCTCACCTCGCATGCCCTGCAGGTGTGATTTCACTTCCGCTTCACACCATGAAACAAGTAGGATTAATTTGGGCCGAATCCTATTTTAAACCTCAAAGAAGAAAAAAAAAAGTGGGATGACGTCAGTAGGTGATGATCTCTGTAAACACTCCCCATGGCTGCGGGCTGAACGCACAGCGTGGTGGGAGAGCGCTGCTGCTGCTGCTGATGATGATGATGATGATGGGTGACAAAACAAAAGCCCAGCCAGTAAACCCTGGTGTGTGTCAAAGCCATGTTCTGCACAGTTACCATGTCCGGATTAAGGGCGGCGCTCGCGAGCCCCTCACGGCTGAATCGAAAGCCTCCAGCCTGCGTCCGTAATTGAATTGCAGTAAGTCAATGCTATTTATGCTGCAGCCTCTGTTGTGGATGTAAACAGGGGGGTAATAATCTGATTCTACATAAACTGGGATGCGCTTTGAGATAATATATGAGGACTTTCACAGCGTTTTTTTCGTGCGTAAAAAAAAGAAAAGAAAAGAAAAATCGAATTTACAATTAACCAAAAAGGTGAGAGGAACACAATAGAAGATGATATATATCACCCAGCGGATAAAATGAAGTTCTTCCTGTAATAATGACATTAAAAAACCATCAAAATCAAACCAACTACAGAGTCCGGGTCGCTTTTATGAGCCTCTCTCTGTATTTGCGCCGCGTTTTTTCTCTCGCGCGCACAGAAAACAAAAACACTAACAACAGGTTATTATCATTAGCGGGGCCCTTAACCTACCGCGTCTCCCCTTACTGCTGCTTCCCCTTCCGCGGCTCCCAGCAGCGGCTTTTCCACGGAGAGAGGAGCTTCCAGCGGGATGCTGGAGGTGGACTGCGCCGGTCTGGGACCTGGACCTGGACCTGGACCCTGCTCAGCTCAGCCCGTCTCCATCCGAGAACAAGAAGAAGAAGAAAGGAGAGTCCCGGTGCCTTCCTGCACGCGCTCCTAACGCACCATCCAGCGGGAGAGGAGAAAGAAAGGAAGCGCGGATAGATGGAGGGATGGGGGGAGGGAGAGAGAGAGAGGAGGAGGAGGAGGAGGAAGAGGAAGGTGGGGGGTGAATCTCCTCTGGCTGTTCGTGTTTTTCTAATCTTTAGGAAAGCGCTGTTGGAGTCGGAGATGAATACATCCTAATTCATGTTTAACAAGTTGTTTCATGCTCACTGCAATCCGGTTTATTTGGGCTTTGGATGTGAGAGACTCAGCGAGGAGACAAAATCCCTCCAGACTGGATCTGTCCGCTTAAATTAAAACATCCCACGGGACAGCTGCGTGTCGGCAGAATATTTAATGAAAAGCGGATTGTTATCACAAACTTAATTAAAAAACTGAAGTTTACATGAATTCATTTCATACAGATTGGGTTCATTCTGATTGTTTATTTATTTATTCTTTTACAGTCTGGGCCGGACTGTAGAAAAGGCTAACCGGGACCCAGGGCTCCGAGTTTTGGGATGACCAAAGATTCAGGATGTTTTTGTCATGAAGGTGACAAAAAGCATCACACCTTCATTTTAAATATAAAACTCATGATTATCCCAATGAAGTGTGGAGTTTTAACATTGTTACATTTTTATAAATGTAAACAATAATCACACATTAGAAAATTCTGAAGTCATAGTAGATCTTTTTAATCATCTCACATAGGAAGTTTTAAATTTGCATGAAAAATATTCTCTTTTTTTGGGGGGGGGGGGGAGGAAAGGACACCAAACTGTTTCCAGCCCAAGGCCACGTATCCTTCTAATCCGGCCCTGCATAAAGTTGATGAAAAACCACAATTCAGTTTCCTGAAAAGCTACAACTTTCCAACACTTTGGAAGGAAACACTTTGGTGGAAACAGGTGTGCAGCTGGAGTCTGTGACAACACACAGAGACATTCAGAGTCGTCGTTCAGAGTCTCACCTGAGTTAAGAGAGAAATGATTGGGCTCGCTTGTGATGTGGGTCAAAACCTTCTTTTCACATTGAAATAAATTTCCATCAAGTTTCCAGAATCTGATTCCAGATTTCAAGTTGTTTTGGTTCCAATGTGAAGTTTCTGCTCTCCTGGATTTATTTTTTTTAAACTTTGGGGTGGAACTCAAAGGAATATTGACATGTTGCTTACGTTGTGTTAATGTTCTACTAACTTAAAAACCTTTAAATAAGGTATTGCAAAAACGAAAGGAAGATGAGAGACATCATTAAATCCACTCTGTCATCCTGAACACCTCAGCACAGCCTGACCATCAGCATGTCGCTCTGTTTGACGCAGTAACTCATGCAAAAGGAGTTTGTTACAGGGACGTTTCTTTCAGTAAGCTGACATATCTGGATTTAAAACATTGTCATAATGGCCTTATATAATATTTTATTCTGTTTATTTGTTTTTAGAAAATGATTCCTGTGTATTCATGATTAGATGTATGAGATCTGCTGTGCCTATAAAATGGATTATGTAAAATAGGAAAAGCTTTTGCTTTTGGTTGATTTGTTGGATATCTCACAGGAGAGGTAGTGAACATGGTGTAGACTGAAAGAGTAGAAATTGTGACGTGAAAATATTTATAATTTTTTAATTGGGTTTATTTAAAAGGGACAGACACACAACATAAATTCAATTGTAGCACTTGTTCCTAGATGGGCTTTTCTAAACTGTATATCTACAAACTGATAGGAAGGAAAATAGTCCTAATAATTTAAAATAGCAAAACATGATATTGACAACATATGCAAAATTACACATATATAGGAAATAAATTTAAAACAAAATGTGGGACATATTTAGGCATTTGTGGGTAAAGGATTTGATAAGCTTTGACTTCTTCCTATTTCTCTTCAAACTGGATATGAAAACTTTGTTTTTATGCTGGATTTATTTTCATTTTCTTATCTATATGTTGTTTTTCTCTGTTATTTCACTTGTTTGGCATACATAAAGGTTTAATTTCATTTCAGTTCACAATTACAAATTAATTTAATTGTGTCAAGTTAGTTCTATTTTACAATTGTTCACATATGGGCCTGCATAGTTGAAGTTGGTTTTGGTGTTTTGAGAATTTTATGTCATCATCTCGGTCAATTCAAACAAAGTTCCAAACAAATCAAAATTTCTCGTGTACTCGACACTCTAATTTACCGTAAAATACCGGATTTGACCGTAAAATCCATTTTACGGTATTTATACGGTAAGATTCTGGCAACCACAGCTGACGGTATTTTACCGTAAATTAGAGACGGTTTTTGTTGTTGTTTTGTTTTTGTTTACAGTGTATCATCTTAAACAAAAATCACATCTAACTCAAAAACTAAAGTCATTAGTTGCAGTGTTGTAGGATTTCGCCTCGTTTCCTTGTCTGACCATTTGATCAGTTTTCTGTCTCCATTTTTTTTTTTTTTTTAGTTATGAGTTACAAGCGCTGCGCTGCCAGACTCACCAACACAATGCTGGCACCATCACCGCCGTGTGACTGACAGTTTTATCAGTTGAGTTCAATATGCTAATGCTTTGTTATTGGCAGGGCTTCCATCATATTTCCCACCCACCGCTGTTGCCACAGAGGAGCCAAGCCTGACGGGAATTAGCTAAATGGCTGCTTGGCTGTCTTGTCAGGTGTACGTGTGCTGTCTGCAAAGCGCAGCAGATCCTGGGAGCTGCTGCTGCTGCACCCTGTGCATAGCGACAAGTCCGAGACTCTGGAGAAATGGAGCAGGTTTAGTCAAAGTGCTGAATTCGCTTTTCTGCGAAATGACCCGGACAGCGGCTGATCTTTTAAAAAGAACGTTTGTGCAGAAGTTATTGTTTTTGCTGTAGGGTAGGATTTTGTTCATAGCTCCTCATTCTTGTCACATGCGATGCTTTGCAAACTAGAATAGAACCAAATCATAAAGAGATTTTGCAGACTACAAATGAACTGAAAATTATGCAAAAGATATATTTATTAAATTCTAAATTGTGTATCCAGATTAGTTTATATTATTTGCTGCCAGAACCTTAGTTGCAGAGTGCAGTTAGTTTGCACCAAAATATGATTCACTTTCTTCAAACGCCTTTAATGTTTGACATGCTACTTAAAAAAAATACAACTTATATATAACAGGATTATTGGAGGTGGTTCAGTTACATATTTATTTTAAGGTAGATTGACACAAAGTAGAAAGCTTCAACAGCATGAAAAACACAGCTGGGTTTACCGGACGGAGAAGATTGATCAGATTCTAGTAAGATTTATTTTTTCATCTGAATCTAAGGTGGTACAGAAGCTAAAAGTTTCACAAATCTCCAAATGTGTTTCAAATAATCTGTGTTTGGTATTTACTCAACTGAACCCATAGTCAGGTTTCAGTAACTTGAATATCTCAGTTTCTGAACTAAAGATTATCAAAGATTCACAAATCTGTTAGAAAAACAACTTAATAGTCCTTTCATTTAGCCTTGAATCTAAAGCTTTTCATGAGTTACAAGCTTCAAATACGTGCTAAAAAAACAAAAAACAAAAATTCTGCTGCTGAATTTCCCTGTCGCCATGACTCCCTGGGTGGTGAGCCATATCACCCATCTCAACCATCACTGGTGCAAACAACATAAGAGATTGTAGAATAAATCGTAGACTCAGCTGTGCTTCCACATTTCTAGGCAACGCATCATATTTTATTTATATGTAATATGCGTTGGAGAAAACTCAATAATTCATAATAATACACTTTCAGGATGTTCAAATAGTTTATTACATGTTAGTTTCCGCAGAGGATTGAGACTTTCTGCAAAGTTTTAAAAGTTTAATTTGTGTGATAAACAACACAAGGCATCTATTACAGCATCAACTATAGCAACAAACTATTGTCTTTTTCAAGAGGTCATAAATTACTGTATGGCAGTTACATATTTTCAGTTACTAGGCTCAGCGGTGCAGAAGTGATCAACTTTTCGCATCATGGAAAGACTGATGATTGAACAGCTTGGTGATTTAACACCTTAACCCTCCTGTTCGTTTCTGAGGTACAGCAATAATGTTCCTGGGCCAGTTTGACCCGGGGAGTGTTTTATCATGCAATAGTGTCAGAAACCAAAAAATTCCTCCAAAACATTTTTGTATCTGATTATTAACTCCAATACTAACCATTTCAATCAATATTTGTGCAATGATGTTTTTTCATTTCTCAGAAATTAAGGATTAATGACGACAAGTTACTCAATTACTCATTTGGACATAAAAAATTTAATTTACATTTTTTATGTCCACTGAAAAAAACCTAGACACACAAAAAAACAATAATTTCCTTGAAAGTGATCTTTGGAAAAAATTTTTGATATTACATTTTTCTTTTTTTTCAATGGGTGATCTTTATAATTGAACTTGAGACACATATACTGTTCCGGGTCAAATTGACCCATCGATTAAAATCAAGATAAATGAGTCATGCAGAGAGTATTTATGTTTTCCTCCACTTCTACTGAGTGTCAACTCAGTGTGGGTGGAGTTGGCCCACAGGAACGGAAAAGGTTCCCATCAAAAGTTGTATGAACACCTGCTTTCTGGCAGTTCATGGTGAAGTAAAGAGAGTGGAGAGAAAGTGGGCTTGTGTGTGTCTGCGTGTGCATGTGTGTGTGTGGTGTGTGTTTGTGTGCGTGTGGCGAAATATGGTTCATAGCTGCAAGGAAACATATAGAATTGGACATTTTTAATCTTTTTTTGCACTTTAACTTGACTGCCGGGTCAAATTGACTAAAAACAGTATCGATGTAACAAGTAGACGCAGGGGGGGTTACAAATGTGTAAAATGAATAAATTTTCAATTTATATGTAGAGTGCACATATAAATTGCACTCTACATATAGAAAACAAATAGAAAAAGTTTCATGCAAAAAAAATACTTCCAACTATTTAAAAAAAAATTTAAACTTTAAAATGGGTCAATTTGACCCGCAACATAACAGGAGGGTTAAAACTTTAAGGTTTTAAATGTGGGACCTCAGCAACAAATGCTTAAAGTATGGTAATTAAAAATATTTCAAACAAGTAATCTGCTAACGTTGCAGTAAAGCTGA